AAGAAATACTTTTCTCCAAATTCAAAGAATAATTATCCCGACTGACGTGAACTTAAATAAATTGTCACGATTCCGAAGAAACGTTGCATCCAATTTACTCGAGTTTATTCGAGTCAAATAATGAATTCTTTGAATTTTAAAAATATCTCCTCGGTTCAATGGACCTTTTCTCTCGGTGTAGGAATCCTTTAACCATGCGCATTTGGAATAACACTAACCGAAACTTCATTTTCGTAGGGTATGATCTAGAAGTCGTGTTTCCATCGACGGTCGGTTTCGGTTCGCAGGAAACGCCCGGTCGGCAATGACCGTTTATATGTTGGCGAGCTGCCGTAAACTCGAAGAAACCTGGCCATGATTCCTGAAGTAAAATCACCCAACCATATCGGGCTATATTAATTATTAAATTCCCCCAGGGGGCTTCACTGGCGAAGTGCAGCTCATCTGGATTAGGTCTCCGCATCGGCTCTTCGTGGTCCCGGCAGACCTCTTCGAGGAAAGCCTGCAGGCTGCAGCTGCTTCTTCTTTTTTTTTTCCTCCCGTGATCCCTATCCCGGGATCGGCTCCAACATCTTTCCCAGAAGGTTGCCACACATTTCGAGCAAACGCCGACAGGGATGCTTCGCTCCCCGCTCGGACTGTTACCAGCCCAAGTAACGTATCTCGTTGATTCCCAGAAGGTTGGGCAGGAAGTATGCCGTTGTCAATGATCGCGTCAACGTGTCATAAACTTGCCTTGACTGTCCTCGCCGAGTCGCCGTCGCGAATTTCTCTCACGAGAGAGAGATACGTGTCGCCACTGGCCAGAGTCTATCCTCGAAATTATGGAAACGTCGGGTCTCCACTCGATGAGGTCCTTCGACGTTTCACGCAAGTGGTAGTATTTACAGCTACCAGAAAATGCCGATGATATCGGGAATTACAGGAATTTAGGGCTCAAAGTTGAGAATCTCGGTAGGAGTCATTTTCGTGGGGTCCGTGGTGGCGTCGATGAAACTGGAATCCTTGGCCAAGGATTTTACAGATGACCAGGTTTTAACGGTATTTCGAAAATTCGGATATCCAGAAATTAGAATGGAGTAGAGCGGTTGAGAACCTCTCGAAATATGATCCTTCAACGAGGATTTCGAAGAAGATCAAATTTCAACGGTTACCGAAAGATTCCAGGTTTCCAAAAATTGGAGAAACGTCGTACTCGAAGTTGAGCACCTCGACGAAGGGTGGGCTCGCTCACAATCTGGCGGCCATCTTTCGCCGAGCCCGCGGTGGTATCTCCGAACTCGAAACGTCTGGCCTAGCAAAGCTCTTAACGAATCATTGGAAACTTCAAACTACTTCCTGCGCGTCTCTCCGGCAAGAATAACGACCGGATCGGGAGACGAGGAGCGCAGGCTCCGGCCGGTGCTCCAAATTCCATGTTTACTCCAGCGCAACATTCGGCTTCCGCGTCGAGGCTTCGGATGCCGCTCTCATCCTCCAAGTAGCGATCTCGATCGACGGTTTCCATTGGTCGAGAAACGTGAAGTGGCATACAAGGGTCGAAGTAGGATAAAAATTTCGATTCGCGTCTTCGTGTTTGGGATCAAAACTAACCTCGACGGGTTCCCGGTGGTCTTGACCGAGCGTTATGGAGTAGAACGGTTATCGGGTCTTCCCGCGTTGAGAACCCCGGCTGAGGGTAAGCTCGCTCGCAATCTGGCGGCCATGTTTCGTCGTGGCTAAGCGCGCGCCGTATCGGCCCCACGAAGAAAACACCCGGCTGCCAACGACCGCTGCGAGTCGTCGTAAACTCCTCGAGGAAGCCCCGACCCGTCCCGTCCTTCCCGGTGCGCGCCTGCCGAGGCTTTCCGGTGCCCAGAAGAACGCCCTCCGGCATTCCGAAGCCAGCAGCGGAGCCCGACGCAGCCAACGCCGCCGGAATCTCAACCAGCGCGTCGGGTGTCGCATAGAACGCGACGACTCGCGAATTAATAGAATCTGATGGTTCAATCCTTTTCACGGAATCGCAACATCTTAACATTGCACGTAGAATTACCCAATGTTAAATATCGAATAGTTGAAATAATCACTTTTCAATATTAATTTGTGTAAGACTCGTTTAACTCGATATAAATTATTTAGGAGTCCCGACGTGCGCGTAGGGTGTCGTACAGAACGCGATGAATCGCGAATTAACAGAATTTGACGGTCCAATTCTTTGCCCGGAATCGCAACATGTTAACATTGCACGTAGAATTACGCAATGTTAAATATCGAATAATTGAAATATTCACTTTTCAATATTAATATGTACAGGATTCGTTTAACTAGATATAAACTATTTTAGAGTCTCGACAAGCGCGTAGGGTGGTGTATAGAGCGCGGCCTGTCCGGTGTCACACAGAACGCGGCAAGTCGCGGATGAATAGAATTTGACGGTTCAATCCTTTAACATTGTGTTAACATTGCGCGCAGAATTACGTGACGTGAAAATGTCGGTTGAAATAATAACTTTTCACTAATCGTGTATAGCACTGTTCGGTGTTAATGCGTTATAAGGGGGTTCTTCCTCTTTAACGCGATGTTTAATTTTGTGGAATGTTTAAACCGTGGACAATTGCACGTTCAGTTGGTACCGTGTCTATCATGAAAATAAAGACATAATTCTACGTCGGAACCAGTCAGAACGCGTCGGAAGTGAGGCACGGTTAAACGCAGTTTCGGATTAGCGTTTCATCCACGATGCGGCGAGATCAATGGGACACGGCGTAATGCTCGACGCCGACGCTCCCTTGTAACGTTTCGGCCGAATTCACGGCACAAACCGTCGCAACATAATTTAGATCGATCTAGATTTCGACGTCGACTTATCTCCCCTTGCGAGAAAAAAGGTCGATTGCGTGAAACTAAGGACAACCGAGTAAACACGAATATTTACACTTTCATATCGACATCGAGTACCGTTGGCATCGAAACCCTCGTTCTCCAATGCTTCGCAAAGGTGAAAAGTACTCGTATAGAATTGGATAGAATAAACATATTCGGGTACTTTTCATTACCTTTTGTCACGTACTGGTACTTCATTCGACATCTTTACTAATCAAGAAATAAATTATTAACGATTAATTTTCTCCGTGCACTTCTTAAGATGATATAAAAGTGGCGTCTGAGGAGTTACTTGTCAGTGAGACATTTCTACAAATTTGTTGCTTCAAATTGTTTAAAATCTCACCACGTGAATATGGAGGCCCAAAGACACCGATGAAATTTCATTTTTTATAAATTCGCTTATAAGCACTTTTCGAGTATATCATAAAATACAAAAATTAAAATCCAGATCAACGTGATGAAATTTCAAACGATTCGATACACTTACTTCGGAGAAATTTTTGATAAACGATCGCCCCCTCAGACGCTGCTGTCATATAACCTTAAACTCGGCAAGAACTATTCTTCCAGAGATAACTCGCATTTTGAAGTCGCATAACAAAGGTAAGTATTAACCGTTTGCCCTCCTTTGTCGAGTGTGACTTGACATCAGCAATCAACATCTCAATAATTGGGAGTGCGAAGAGGTTAATTCCAAGCACCAACTCCAAGCATCACTCGCACGTTTCACGTGTTGACAAAGAAAATTATCTCCATGGAAGATTTCAAGAAGTCGAGAAAGTTCGCCTCGGGTCACCCGAACGAATACTGACCTAACCTCAAAAACCGCCCGCTACATGACCACGGCAAATGCGAAGTTAGCATTCGACTCGATTTTTGGAAGAAAGCATGTCTTCTTAAGATGTTATGAAACTGTCATACATATATATGTACATATATCTATATATAAAAAAGTAAAAATATTTATGAAACTTTTCCAACTTGGGTGCACCGAATAATTTGAAACTTTAACCCGTGCTTACAGAGATCCTAACAAAGGTCTTGCAGCTCACAAAATTTCACTTTTCGAAAAAATTTCATTATCTCGGACAAGAACTAAAATAGAAAACATTTTTTCTCGAAAAATGAAATTTCACGAGTTTTGAACTGTTCATTAGGACCTCCATAATCACGCATTAGTTTTAAATTAGTCGCACCCAGTTTCAAGAAAAATGTTATTAACATTCTGACGTGTCGTTATACATAGAATGATCCTTTCGTATCACTTTAAAATTCGAAGGCGTTCGGAATATAAGGTTCAGGAATATAAACCGTTTCGAATTGATATTACGGAACGGGGCGCTTTGATATCGAAAGTGTCGAGTCGGAATCAGGAGTCGAAGGAAAGTCAAGCTCTCGCCGAGCTTATCCTTATTGACGATATTCCGAGTAGTAAACAGTAGCGACGAAACCGTTCCGTAGGTCACTGAAGATCCTCGGTTTCCTCTCCGAGGTACCGATAGAACAAGATGGAATAATTCACCGGGTAATGCCACCACTCGTGTAAACATAAAGCAACGCACAAGTTCACTGTCCCCTCCGGCTAGTGCTCATTAGAGAACCCAAAATAAATTCGAACGACATTCCGTAGTCGAGCCGTTGCACGAGTTCCAAGAGAACCATTCGGCGTACTTCGCAAGGGTCCCACCACAAAGGTGAGAAAGTTCACTTCCTTTGGCGGGTTTTTCAGCCGACGATAAACACATGTATTTAAATTCAAAGTACACGTCGCCAGTGCCGTTACGGGTGTAAAGGGGGAGGGGGGGCAGACGTCGTTGAGTTCGAAACCGTCATACGTAGCCAGAGGCGCGCATTTATCACTTTTTGTATTTCTCCTCCCCTAGCGCGATTTCCAGGCCGTCCTAAAATACACGCACTTGGTTAATCAGCTCCATTTAGCCCTTCCGTTCCGCCGCACTTTGGGGTTATTCGCGCCTGGATATTTTTCTTGTTTTTTTCTTTTGTACGGAGGGGAAGAAAGGGCCGACGCTTCGGAGGTTAGGAATTTTCTACGGCGACGCAAGGAACCGCGTCGTATTTTCGCCGTTAGATGAGGCGATAAGAGGGGAGGACAGGGGAACCCTTAGACTTACGTTCTGCGCGCCTTTACTGCCCAATCCATAATCTCGTACGTATCCAAGGGGACGCACGATTGCGTGAAATCCCGCTCTTAATCTATTGCACTTAGGGCACACACCACTGGCTCGCGCGAGACTAGTCGGTCCGATCGTCGCGGATCAGGGTGGGCACCGCCGCGAGATACATATAAAATCGGGAAGGGGTGGTGAAGCCACGCGACGATCGACAAAGGAAACGAAACACGACACCACCTCGGCGACGGCCCGTCGGCGACTGAGCGCGCCGACGCGCAGCGACCGCGACCGGCGTGGAGCGCCGCGCCGTGGTGGGGGAAGGAAGGTACGCTCGACGCTGTCTCTCTCGTGCCCGGCGGAGCCCGCATGCCCGCGTCTCGCTTGCTCTCCAGCACTGCAGCACCGTTGCCTCTCTCTCGCTCCCGCGCAACGGCCCCTATTTCCGTCCTCCTCGCTCCCTCATGGTGCCCCCATATCCCGTCTGCCTCGCTCCCGGCCGACCGACTGGTTCGCTCGTTCTTTTCCCCCGGCCACCCTTGTTATCGCAGCGTCTCTCTCTTGCCCGGCTCTTATCCCACAGTTCTCTCTCCTACTTCCTCGCGATAGGGGGCTATCTATATATTATATATATATATACGTCTCTCTCGCTTTCTCGGTTCTCTATCCCCTCTATTTCCCTCTCTCTCTTTCTCTAGCCCAGGCTGGCCCGTCTCGCCGCGGTCGCTCTCCCTCGAGCACCCCTGTTATCGCTTCCTTCTCTCTCGCACCACCTGGCTTCCCGTAAGTCTGTCTCTCTCTCACTCCCGGCACTGCCCCGCAGTGCCTGCATATCTAACTCCCTCGCGACACCCCAATTCTACTTCTTCTCCCTCTCCGAGTCTTTCTCCTTTCGTGCCGTTGCCAGCTGTATCGCTCTGTCTCTTTTCTTGGAGGCGCTCTTATCGAGTGAGTCTGCCAAGAAAGGAGAGATGTACCGGAGGAGAACCTTCGTTCACCGGGTTTCGCGGAGCCCCCTTTTGCTTTTTCTCCCTCCCTCTCTTCCCCTTCCCTTCTCACTCTCTCTCTTTCTCCCCTTGTTTCGTGCCCGCCCAGTCGGATGGACTGGGTTAACCCTGGAAAAATGCGTGCATCGAGATAGCCTGCGCCATGGCGGCCACTTTGCGAGGTGCAAGCCAATCACCTCCCGTGGAGGTCACGTGACCCCGCTATGGCGGCCATTTTGAAAATTCCGCGTTTTCATCCGGGAAGGAGCGGAGACAACCAACCGGGGTATTTATTTATCTTTGCAACGTTTAGGGTAATATTAACCTTAAGTGCTCATTTCGAGAATGGCTAATGACCCTGCAGGTACAAAAATCCGAGTTCTTCGGAGAATAAGAACAATATTAGGTATTCCAGAAAGTTTTCTCGTGTTTCGGAAACCTTTATTGCCGTTTTATTGACTTTAGTTACATTATCAACCGGCTGATTTACTGTTTACAAGCAGCACATTGCTGACCAATTATCGGTGCTCTGCTCGTGACTTTAAAAGGTTTACTTTCAAACTTTTGGAGTGACTTGATATTAGTAACAAAAATCACGTAGTATGCGAAGATTTATGACGAATGAATATTTCACGGATATAAAGAAACGTTAAAGTGTAATATACGCAGTAAGTTTATATAGCGTTTCCTAGGGGATCTTTTTCTTCTGATTTTTTACGTCCCTAATTCAGAGGATGCTTTATTTTCCTCGGTAGAGAGGAAGGGAAATTGAATTCGCGAGCCTCCGATTGCATTACTTTTTTTAAGGAGCATCACCTGCAGCATCGCGCTGTCTTAAATGTTGCAATGAGATTTTTTATGCACCTCTTAAGTACGGGTAAATGTTACGTCCGGATAATGTACAGCCGACCGTGGAGCTACAACCTCTGGATGAAACTACGAGAATACCCTTCACGGCGGGGACCACCTTCGGGTAAACGCATACAAGTACACAATCTTTACGGCAGTTCGCACTCACGTTGTTTCACGTTACGATCACAGATGTGGAGTAGTGTTGATAATCATAAACTATCTCGGGATAAATATTCGTGACGCCTACTTGCAGTCTGACGCTCCGGCCTCAATGGCGAACCGTCTTATCAATTCATGAATATAGATCGATCATGAGGTAATCGCGACGCGTTACAAGTTGTATTACTTACTGCAGCGAGCCATGTTCTAGACACATTTGTTGTGACAAATTGTTTATAGACCGGTCGGGTTAAGAGTTATCAATTTAACGGAAGTTCACGGTCCAATCGTCTTCCAAGTCCGACACTACAGTCAGTACTCCGTCGATTGGCATTGTCGTCATGTAACTGTGATTCACTTTCCGTACCATTTGCGTCGGGTGGCTCTGCGAGTTCCCGTAGTTCGAAGGAACGTGGGTAGTTTCCCTAAAATCGGTCCGCTTTAGCGAGGTGTTCCCAGCCCACTGGTACAACTTAAACCCGAACGAAGCATCCCGTCGTCTTTGTGCACGAGCGGAGAGGGCGCTTCGAACGACTTTACGAAACACCCACAAGACCCACACACAGACGTTTCAGGCCGAAAACGCACCGAGAAGGTTCAGGGTAGACCCTCTACCCGTCGACCATTGGTACTTCTGTGTCTGCTTCTTTCGGCATCCCTAGACACATCCGTGCGATACGCATTTATGGGGTTCGTTATATGTATAGTCGGATGCGAACGAATAAATTAAAGATGTTTTAAATCGTATTTTGCATTTCGATGTAGGGCATATTATGGGACGCTTACTCGAAAATTATTGGTACTCCTGCATTTCGGCATCCCTGGAAACATCCGTGCGACACGCATTTATGGGGTTTGATACGTAATCGCTTGCAAACGTGCAAATCGATACCGTTTCAACTTGTATTTTATATATAGATGTAGGGTATATTAAACCCGTAATTCCAACAAACCTCCGCATTAACAATGCCACATAGAAAATTTAAGCCACCACTTGCATTTCCTCTCCATACGTTTCTTCATAGCTGGAATATCGGCATTCGTACCTCATCGTAAGAAGTATAAATTCCAGAAAACGTAACTACATGTCCAACCATGTGATCAATAGTTGTCAAGATTTGATATCCCCAGATCACCGAAAAAGAATGAAAAACAAGATCACATTTGAGTAACATTATTAAGGGCGTATTTTCCAGGGTACGAGTCATGTGTACCCGAGAGATTAATTCCAGAGTCACAAGGTGAGTGTCGGGATCCAAGCTGGCGCGGGTCAAGAGATTTCCTAGAGGGAGGGGCAGGTGGGGCCAGGGGGACACCATCGGTAGGTAACCTTAGGAAGTCCCAAGGTCAGGCCCGAAGGTTCGACCAAGGCGAAGGGCCGGACCCGGCCCAGGTAGAAGGAAGTCGGGCAAAGGTGGGCAAAGCTCGGCAAAGGACTCGGCGGAATGACAAATGCGCGCCATGGTGAAGGGAAAGGTGAAAGGACCGGGGAGACCCGAGAAGGTCCGAGGTGCGACGAGTCGGGACTGAATTCAGGAGCTCGGCTCAACCGTGGACTGCGAAAATCCTCGGCGGATCAGCTGGCATTTTGCCGTCTCGAGACCCTTCCGAAACCCTAATTGCACATTTCGGATGAATTCGATTGTGTGAAAGGCTGTGGTATAAATGGCAAGTGCGGATTAATTTAATTTATGCACTGGGGAAAAACATCTTTTTGTTTCTAAGAAATTATAACTTTGAGTGAAGTTACAGAAAGACTAATATCAAAGAAATATTGTCCGCACGCCGAAATTTCGAATGTTTAACTCTGATGCGTTGCATCGATTGAATACATCGTGTCTTAAAATGATGAAGAAAGAAATCGAAACTATACGTTTAATTACTTCAACTTCATTTGAAGAAATAATTTTTTGGAAATAATTTTTTTTTAATTTTGTGCACTGAGCAAAAGAAATTAAATATGTTTTCATGCTTAAGAGACTATTTCTTTCGATAGATCGAATAAAATATTTCAACGTTATTTGTTTCAATTAAACGCGTCATAGTTTTAAACAAACTCGCAGAGTATTATCATTTCTTTCAATGAAAAATAAATACTTCTTTGGGGTAATTACATGTGCTTCCTACCAAAACCCTGTTATTTGATCTAAATGAGCATTTTTTTAAGAAATCATTTACTTTGAATCAAAGTTTTTTTTTCTCAGGGTCGGCTCGCACTCATACCCCACTTTTTGCGCTAAAATATGTTTTTCTGCCATTTACTGGTAAAAGACGTCTTTTAATGCCAAAAGTGAGGTATGGGAATGGACCTTGGCATTTTACTTTTCGAGTCTTTTAGGATATCCCTGGATACTGCCATGACATTTTTTAAGTTCTTTTTAACATTCGGGAAAAGATTATTACGGTACCTTATTATTGTACCAGATTGATATAAATTGTATATTTATAAAGATTTTAGTTAATAGAGATTTACAAAAATCGTGGATGGATGAACGAATAGTTTATTCATACCCAGAAGGTTAATAGCTGGAAATTTCACGTTATAGCAGTTTTTTCTTGGCTTCGTGAAAATTTGGATTATATCTACAGAATTAACCGCTTACAGAAATTCTTAATGGGTTGTGAAAGTGGCATCCGAAAGCTCAATCGTTCATAAAACTTTTCTACGGACGGGGTGTCTCAAATCGTTTCATACTTTAAAATGTGAATATGGAGACCCTAAGGTAGGTCCTAAAACTCGCGAAATTTCATTTTTTATTTACTATTTTTAAAATACCTATAAACAAATTTGAAAAGAATTGAAATTTCATGAGTTTCAGGACCTTCCTTATAGTCTCCCTACTCACGTTTTAAAGTTTCAAACTATTCGGTAAATCGAGTTGGGAGAAAAGTTTTATAAACAAAACCTCTTCGACGCCACTTTCACATCACCTTAAAATTTGTAGAATAATTCTAACCTTCAAAATCACGGTTTCCGTGGATTATACGGAACGTAAGAGTACCAGGAATGTTTTCGATGGTGTATCGTTGGATGTACTTCAGGTTAATGGTGAAACGTCAATTTTTAAGTACATTCGAGTCCTCGCGTCATGCGGACGTCTTGCTGACTCAAGACTCGACCTCGAGGGACAGGAAAATGAAAAAGAAAAAACCGGAAAAGGGAAAGATTCTCTGCTTTTCTCGAAATCGTCGTTTTACGTCCCGCCATAATGGAGTTCCGGCCTCTTGAGACGGCTCCACAATTTAAACTT